AGAAAAATCGAATTTTCGAAGTAAAATCAGTGGTCGGTTCTTACAGAGACAGCCTCTTAAAACAGTTAACTTAGATTTCCAGCTACCCCAATAGCCTGTGAGACTTTCCATGGACTGATTTGAAGTATCAAACGAAGAAAATGTGATACTTTATTTAAAAAAAGTATCTTACAATCACAGTTACAACTTGCTATGCACTCTTTCTGCACTCAAGCGTTACGATTGGTGTCTATAAATAAACTTGAAGATTCGAAACGTTTGTCCTAGGAGGCTACACAAGAACAAGGTTCGACTTTGTTACTGTTTTAATCCTATGAAGCGTTCGTTTGTCCTTTAAAACGTTAACTGAAGGTTCAAGTTGCGATAGTTACCATGACAACTACCAACTGACGACAAACAACTGAATTTAATACTGATCATCTGATAAAAGTACCTACTATTATGGGGTAGTCTTAAAAGGTAACATCCTCCTTTGTTACAGGTTATAGACAACAATTAGCACTGTTCTTCCAAATAAATTCGACAATTTTGCTTTTGTCCTTTCAAGAAGAAACGGTTTGGACTCGGGTACTCGTAATACATGTAAAACGAGGAGCTTAAATTACTACAAACTTGTTATCATCTAACCTGTTTCCATGAGGGAAAGGAACCCAATAGTCCGTTCCGATCGTCGTTTGAGCATTGTCCAAGTTAAAGGTAAAGAACTGAGTTCGAAGGACTCAACGAAATCTTCAAGTGTCATTTAATAGTACAACATAACAGATCAATTAACGGCCTAACGGAAATAACCTTAATAGAGCGAGATCTCCTTCCCAGAGTAAATCTGGTGCCGAATCTCCCAAACTCTCCTACTAAGACGTCAATGTTCAGTTGTAGGACGTGAGCATTATCTCTTTCAACTGGCTTATTGGAGGTATTAGTTAATCTTGAATTTGAAAAATTATCTTAAACTGACGGCGTTTTTCACTGTTGTTGTTGTTTTTTTTTTACTACTCGCAAAAATTATAACAGGTGTTATTCCTGATGACGTTTATGGCTCTTTCGTAAATTTTATATTATGTGGCGACTACTAGTAAAATGGAAAACCTGTTATTATTTCGAAATTACAGATTAACAAAAACGTTAAAATCCTGCACCAACCGACCCAGATTTGTAACAATTCCTTATACTTGAACG